AAGAGTTTAATGTAGGACTATTTACTGCAATCTACAGTATCTCTCTCCTTCTGGCTCCAAAGCACCACAAACATTTGATACACTGGAAAGCTCTGTTTGGATGCAAAAGATAGCAGTCGTTAACCTGGGAGAAGGACAAATATATACAAAAAGTTTGGAGGCAAGAGAGAGGAACCAAGAGAAATTCTATATAAAATGCATGAAAATTCATAGCATGATTTACGATCGCAAAGATATGGAATCAACCTTAGTGCCCATCAACCGATGAGTGGATACAGAAAATTGGTGTATATATTTATATACACCATGGAGCACTATTCAGCCATAAGAAAGAATGAAATAATATCTTTTGCAGCAACTTGGATGGAACTGGAGGCCATTATCCTAAGCGAAGTAACTCTGGAACAGAAAAATAAATGCCACATGTTCTCACTTATGAGTGAAAGCTAAACCATGGCTACGAAAGGACACACAGAGTAGAATAATGGACACTGGAGACATAAAAGTGGGGAGAGGATGTGAGGGATGAAAAATTACCTATGGGTAACAACGTACACTATTCGGGCGATGGGTACACCAAAGCCCAGACTCCACTATTATACAATATATACATGTCATGGAAGTCAACTTGAATCGCCTAAATCTATTGAAAGAAAAAGAAAATGAGAGAAAATCCAAACAGGTGGATGTAGAGATCAGGTAGAGAGTGGGAAGAGATGAAGAGGTAGGCAGGGAGGGATCCTGAAGGAATTTGAAGCCTGGTAAGGAGGTTAGATCTTCTCCCAAGAGTAACAGGGAGTCATGGAAAGGTTACAACAGCAGGGGAACATATCAGAATTAAATGGTAAACAAACCTCTCTGGCTGCACCGTGGCTAATGGGCTGGAGGGGCAAGCATGGCAGCAGGGAGACCAGTTAGGAGGCTCCAGCCGGCAAGAGATAATGGAGCCTAAGAGTTCATGGTAGTACATGAACTCTGCACAGTCTTACTTGCTTATATGGGGAAGCCACCCCTCACTGGGACTTGTGCACACAAACATACAGATAAGAAATAAGACTGGAGGAAGATTCCTAATAATAGAGCTTCTGCAGGATGATATTAGGTGATTTTTATTTGCTTCTCTATATTTTTATCAGCACCCCCACTAACTTTTTGCCAAGAACCTATGTTCATTTTATAACCAGGAAACATTTTTTTTTAAAAGGTAACAGATAAGATTAGCCAGTGTGTGTGTGCATATATACATATATTTGTGTGTATGTGTTAGTATACAATATACACATAAAAGCTCTGCATTTTCCCATTTCACTCTCACAACTGGACCACAGGTACTTACATGACTCTATATTACAGATGATATATATAATATATGAGGTCTTTCCAGAAAGTATCCAGCCATTGTTATATTACATTGTCATATTATATGGCTGTATACTTTCCAGACAGATCTCATACAAATCTAAATACAAACGTATAAAAAGGGAGTCATACTCTACATATTATTCTGACACTTGCTTCTTTTCTACCTAATTATATTTCTTGAATGTCTATCTAAATTCATTCTTCCATTCTTTAAAAAAAAAAAAATTTTTTTTTTTGAGACAGAGTTTCACTCTGTTGCCTGGGCTAGAGTGCTGTGGCATCAGCCTAGCTCACAGCAACCTCAAACTCCTGGGCTCAAGCAATCCTCCTGCCTCAGCCTCCCAAGTAGCTGGGACTACAGGCATGCGCCACCATGCCCGGCTAATTTTTTTTTTTTCTATTTTTAGTTGTCCAGCCAATTTCTTTCTATTTTTAGTAGAGACGGGGTCTTGCTCTTGCTCAGGCTGGTCTCGAACTCCTGAGCTCAAACGATCCTCCCGCCTCGGCCTCCCAGAGTGCTGGGATTACAGGCGTGAGCCACTGCGCCCGGCCTCTTCCATTCTTTAATTCACAATTCTACACTAAGTTACATATCCCTTATCAGGCAATGTACTAAAATTAATGATTTATTAAGTGGTTTCTATTTGCAGGTGCTCTTTACCCAGATTAAGTCAAGCATTGCTCACAACTCTGTCAATTGGATGCTATTATCACACCCATTTTACAGATAGGGAAATCAAGGCAAGTTACGGTCCCTACTTCTCTCTGCTATATGTGGAGCCACTGCTCAACCCCAGGTCTGAGAGATTCTAGATCCTCCCTTAAACTTGCAGGCTTTGCTCATGTATTGAATTCCCTGGAAGAAAGTGCTTTGAGGGAATCAGTGAAGCATCACCATAGCATGTCTGAGAGAGACCTTGGGGCTTCGGACCCCTAGAAGCAGAAGACAGAGGATTATTGTGCATTGTCTCCTATGCTAGCCTGGGAAGAGTACCCACAGAACTTGACAGTGGGCTCTGAGAGTACCTTCTCCTCTCAGTTACAGTCCAGTCCTGCTTCTTTGAGGTGACTTCCAGTTCACCTCTCATGGGATTGGTGGGTCAGAGATATACAGACACTACCAGGGGTGGGGAACCTGCAGCCGTGGGGCCACATGTGGCCTTCTGGATCCTTGAATGTGGCCTTTTAACTGAATCCAAATTTTACAGAACAAATTCTTTTATTAAAAGGGGTGCAGTAGAGAAAGATGCTTTTCTTGTCTCCTTTGATGCTTAAAAAAAGAACAATCTTGAAATCAGAAGGCCACACCTGGCCTAGAAGGATATTTTTTAAGGTGAGGAATGAGAAGACTATTGGTAGAAATGACCTTAGAGGCTGGGTGCGGTGGTTCATGCCTGTAATCCTATCCCTCTGGGAGGCCAAGACGGGAAGATTGCTTGAGGTTAGGAGTTGGAGATTAGCCTGAGCAAGAGCAAGATCTCATTTCTACTAAAAATAGAAAAATTAGCCAGGCGTGGTGGCACATACCTGTAGTCCCAGCTACTTGGGAGGCTGAGGCAGGAGGATCGCTTCAGCCCAGGAGTTTGAGTTTTGCAGTGAGCTATGAAGATGCCACAGCACTCTAGCCGGGCAACAGAGCTGGATTGTCAAAAAAAAAAAACAAAAAACAGGAAAGTATCTTTTCTTTTCTTTTATTTTATTTTTTTCTCCTTTTGAGACAAAGTCTCACTCTGTTGCCCGGACTAGAGTGCCGTGGCATCAGCCTAGCTTACAGCAACCTCAAACTCCTGGGCTCAAGTGATCCTTCTACCTCAGCATCCCGAGTAGCTGGGACTACAGGCATGCGCCACCATGCCCAGCTTATTTTTTCTATAAATATTTTCAGTTGTCCAGCTAATTTCTTTCTATTTTTAGTAGAGACGGGGTCTCGCTCTTCCTCAGGCTGGTCTCAAACTCTTGAGCTCAAACAATCCAACCGCCTCAGCCTCCCACAGTGCTAGGATTACAGGCGTGAGCCACCGTGCCCGGTCAGAAAATATTTTTTATACCCAGTTGAGTTAAGCAAGGTATTACTTTAGGGAGGCAAAACTGGATTGTAAATGCCACTAAGAAAACTGAAACCTAATCCATTTGATTGGATTAGTCAAAGGGAGTTCATTAGTTTTTTCTTAGATCATCTCAAGGGCAATGAAGATCGAGGAGAATGTGGAGAATCTGGAAACATTTTACAAATAAGGCCCATAGAACTTGCTAACTGATTAGATATGAGTGTGAACAAAAAGGGACATCAATGATGATGACTAGTTTTTTGGCTAGAAAGAGAAAACCATCTTCTGACAGGTGAAACTGACCTGCTATCACTAATTAGGCTTGGCGTCCTCCTGTTAAACATCAATAATTTCACAGAACATCATCAAACAAGGATACTCTGTGACCTCCTAAATTGAGATAAAAACAACACTACTTAATCATGTCTGAACACAGACAAAAACATGAACATTGTCCAAAACACAAAAATGGCCAAACATCCCCCTATCCTGGCTAATATGAAGGACTGTTGCTTCTTTACCAATGACAGGTTTAGCCTCCCTTCATTCCTCCCACCTTCTAGAAAAGACTGGCTAAGATACCCAATCACAGATTTATTCCCGCTTCCTGACAGTATTAATTCCAGAGCAAAGTTGCTTTCTTGAACTTTCCCCCAAATCTCCCAACACAAGCCCAAATCCTATAAGAAGCACTTTCTAACGTCTCCTTAAGGACACATTCCTTCACTGCAATGAGTCAATAAATTGGTTTTTTTTTTTTTTTGAGACATGGTCTGGCTGTGTCACCCAGGCTGGAGTGCAGTGGCATCATCATAGCTCACTGCAACCTCAAACGCCTGGGCTCGAGCGATCCTCCTGCCTCAGCCTCCCACGTAGCTGGGACTACAGGCGTGCGCCACCATACTAGGCTAATTTTTCTGTTTAGTAGAGATGGGGTCTTGCTCTAGCTCAGGCTGGTTAATCTTTATTCAATTATGCACAGGTGTGTCTGGGTGGTCTTTGGCTGAAGGGCATTGATATTAGCATAAGCAACTTAGATTGGATGATGGTGCCATTCCTTGGCATGGAAAAAGTAGGGCATGACCAGTGGTTGGGACTGACCAACTCTGCAAGCCAATCTGCCAACCCCTGGCAGCAGATGCTGTCAACTGTCTCTGGGTGCTCCAGGCCAGTACTTCTCACAGCACTAGGTTACTGATCCTCCATGCTGTTCCCTCTAACGCATCACCAACTTCATTTACAGTAAAACTGTTTTATTTGTATTAATAGATTCATTTATATTAATAGCTGATATTTAATGAGTGTATACTATGTGCCAGGCAGTGTAATAAGGGCTGTAGATGTTTTAATTCATTTACTCATATCAACTCTATGAAGGTAGGTACTATTATTATCCCATTTTACTATTGTGGAGACTGAGGTACGGAGAAGTTACATAACTTGTGGAGTGAGGATTTGAACCTTGTCATATTCTGGGCCAGGCGGAGCCATCCTCAAGCCCTGGCAAAGAAATCTAGAGGCAGCCATCTTGTTGTAGTCTGCAAGGACTGCAACTCCCGGCATCCCTCGCGGCAGCGGTCCTCCACACACAACAAATCCCGGCATGCCCCTGGGCGGCCCAGGGTGGAGGGTTCTAGAAGGTGTGACGTGGGGTCGCGAGCGGGCTCCGGAGTGGGCTCGGAGGCGGGCGCCTCTCAGCTGTTGCCGTGGCCGCAGCTGCCGGACCTGGGGACGCGGGTAGCCGGGGTCGCGATCGTAGCCTCCTCGTCTCGCCGGCCATGGCCGCACTGGGCCGGCCCTTCAGCGGCCTCCCCCTGAGCGGCAGCTCGGACTTCCTGCAGCCGCCGCCGGCCTTCCCTGGCCGGGCCTTCCCGCTGGGGACGGACGGCGCCGAGTTGGCCCCGCGGCCGGGACTCCGCGCAGTCCCGAGCAGCCCTGGCGGGAGCGCAGCGCGCGGACGGTGAGGAGCCCGGCGGGCGGGCGGGCGCGGGCTCGTTAACTCTCCCCACGACCTTCCGCGGGAGGCTTCTCAGCCCAGTGTACAGATGAGGAAACTGATCTCCTGAGACGTTAACTGTAAGTTGTCTGAGGCTGTACAGCCGGGGACTCCGCTTCGAACCTCGCCCCGGTGCGCCGCGGAGGAGTGAGACTTTTCCAATTGGAACCCGGGCGACTCGAGCCCGGTGTCCCCTTAGCGTGTGCCGCGCTCTCTTTCCAGACCCCGGCGCGGCCGCTGATGGTGACAACTTTCAGTGCCTCTCGGACACTCAGGTCGCTCATCCACAAAGCGAGGGACAGGAATGGGTCCTCCTAGTTTGGGCACAGAAATAAAGCGCCTGCGCCGAGAACGTTTTCCCTACACTGGTCCTCCCTAATCTATTTCCCATTAACTTGATAATGGCAAGTTTAGATTTCAATGTCTCCTTATGTCGGGACCACTCGACATTACCTGGCTGACCTTGTGACCTATATCTATCCCACTCGGCAAAGAAAGGGACATTTGGAATGTGGGGGTGAGCAAGATTATTGGAGCAAGGAACAAGAGATGCTCAAATTTCCCCATTGACTGATTTTTGTTTGTCTGTTTCAACAGTGTTTCCGTTCACTGTAAAAAGAAACACAAGCGAGAGGAGGAAGATGATGAGTAAGTTTCAGGGGCCGTTTATTCACATTGTGGCCACTGTTAATTTAACCTATGTTATATCCTAAACTACTTGTTTTAATTGAAAAAACATTTGGCATGTATCTGGAAGGAGGCACAAGACAGTAGTAACATCAGTCGTCTTTTAGACAAAGTAACTGGGTGGCTGGCAGACAGGTCAGGGAAACTTTTCACTCTAGAACCAGTTGTAATGTTTGAATTTTGAACCATATTACTGTTACGTGCACAAAGTAAAAGAATTCAAAGGATACATATTGAAATGTCTTGTACTCCGCAGGAGCAGTCTCCCCAGAGGCAACCCATGTGACCTGTTTCCTGTGTTTCCTTTGGAAGATAATCTAAAAACTTACAAGTTTATAATTGTATATGGCCCTGGTTTTTTACGTTTGTAGAAAGATACTGTTCATAACTGTGCAATACATTATCTTTTCCTTTTACTGTAGCTTGTTCCCATATCAGCACATAACAATTTTACCTAATTTCTTTTCAACAGTTGAATGGAATTCTCTTGTAGGACTAGGTATAGATAATTACCCAGTCTCCTATTGATGTATTTTTAAGTTATTTCGAATCCTTTGCTATTGCAGATCTACCACGATCATTCTTTTGAAGTTCTTTGTATATGTTTGCAAGTAGATGAATGGATTCCTTAATGCAGAATTGCTGGGTCTTAAAGTGTGTGCATTTGAAATTGTGAACAAGAGTTTTTGCCAGTTTATTCTTATTAACATTGAGAATGCGTGTTTCTCCATCTTCTCACCACAACTATTTTCAAATTTTGAATCGCTGCTTAAATGATAGGTGAAAAATTGCATCTCATAGACAGGCAGTCTGATGGAAAGTAAAAGAATTCCCCACAGAGGATATCCAGATGACCAACCAAGTGAGAAAGTGTTCAACCTCATCAGTCATTAGGGAAATGCAAATTAAAACCACAGTGAGATACCACTCTACCCTCAGATATTGGAGTGCATGTGGAGCATCAGGAACTCTTACTAAACACTATGGGTGGGAGTATAAATTGGTGCAAACACTTTGGAAAACAGTGTGGCATTATCTAATAAATTTGAAGGCACCTTTTTTTTTTATTTTTTTGAGACAGAGTTCCCATCTGTTGCCTCTGTTGGAGTGCAGTGGTGTCATCACAGCCCACTGCAACCCCAGACTCGTAGGCTCTCCTGCCTCAGCCTCCCCGGTAGCTGGGACTACAGGTACGTGCCACCACACCTGGCTAATTTTTCTATTTTTTGGAGGGATGGGGTCTTGCTCTTACACAAGCTGGTCCTGAACTCCTGGCTTCAAGCAGTCCTCCCACCTTGGCCTCCCAGAGTGCTGGGATTACAGGCGTGAGCCACCACAACGTGCAGCCAGAAGGCACCCTTTGGGCCAACAATTCCCCTCCTGGAGAAGTTCATACATATGTATACCAGGAGACACATACAAGAAAGTTCACCCCTATAATCCCAGCACTTTGGGAGACTGAGCAGGAGGATGGCTTGAGGCTAGGAGTTGGAGACCAGTCTGGGCAACATATTGAGACCCTGTCTCTACAAAAAATTTTAAAGATCGGCCAGGTGTGGTGGCATGCGGGAGTATCCCTTGAGTGCAAGTCTTTGAGGTTTCAGTGAGCTATGATTGTGCCACTGCATTCTAGCCTAGGCAACAGAGTCAGACCCTGTCTCATAGCATTCTTGTTCAGAATGGCTCAAAACTGGAAACAACTGAAATGTGTCCAACAGTGAAATGGGTAAAATAAATTATAAATTCATGCATTGGAGTTCTATACAAGAAAAACAAAAACACACTACACTTACCAACATACTGTGTCTTGTAAGCATATTAAGAGCAAAAGAAACATCACAAGAATGCATATAGTATAATTTCCTAAATAGAAAGTTCAAAAACAGGCAAAACTAAATGTTTAGGAATACATACCTATGTAGGTGGTAATGTATTTTTTTAAAAAAGGAAATAATTATTGTAAAAGATTGAGAGTCAAGTGTTTACCTCTAGAAAGAAAAGGGAATAGATTAACATTTGGGGATGCAGTGTTCTTTACCTTAGATGATATTTTCATGGATGTTTGTTTTATTATTCATTAAGTTGTATGTTTGATGTATTTTTATGTGTGTAGGATTTTATAGTTAAAAAGGTTAAAGAAATTGTATCACTTTTAATTTGTATTTGTTCATTTTGTAATTTTATTTTTTTTTAGAGATAGAGTTTGGCTCTGTCACCTGGGCTGTAGTGCAATGGCACAATCATAGCTCACTGCAGCCTCCAACTCCTACTCCCTACCCCTGGCTAATTTTTCCTATTTTTTTTTTTATAGAGACAGGGTCTCACTATATTGCCCAGGCTGATCTCAAACTCCTGGCCTCAAGTGATCCTCCTGCCTCAGCCTCCAAAAAGTGCTGGGATTACAGGCGTGAGCCACCATGCCCAGCGTGTATTTGTTCATTATAAGTGATATTGAACATCTTTTCATTGAGCCATTTGCATTTAATTTTGTGTGAATTTTATATGTTTATGCAAATATTTATTGGTTTATTGGTCTTACTGATTCTTAAGAAGTCTTTAGTAAGGAAATTAGCAGTCTATTATATGTGTTGCAAATGGCTTCTTCAAATTTGTCCTTTGTTAACTTTGTACAGGCTGTTCTCAAACTCGGGGCTTGGTCAATCCTCCTATAGGCATGTCCCACCGTACTCAGCTTATTCGCTTTTCCTTAGCTATTTTTTTTTAAATATATATATGTATAAATATGTAACTTTTTTTTTTTTTTTTTCTTGAGACAGGGTCTCATTCTGTTGCTCAAGCTAGAGTGCAGTGGCATCATCATAGCTCATTGTAACCTCAAACTCCTGGGCTCAAACAGTCCTCCTCCCTCAACCTCCCGAGTAGCTGGGACTACGGATGTGCAACACCATGCCTGGCTAATTTTTTCTATTTTTGTTAGAGATGGACTCTCGCTCTTTTTCAGGCTGATCTCGAACGCCTGACCTCAAGCGATCCTCCCACCTCGGCCTCCCAGAGTGAGCCATCTCGCCTGGCCAACTTTATTTTCATTTTTCCAAAACATCACATACTTTAAAACTATCCAAATATTACAGAAGTATTTGATGTATAGCTAGACATTCTTAATACTTTCTTATGAATTAAAACTAATCATAAATGATACATTCTGTTTAATAGTTGATTCTGATCAAAAATCTAGGTTTTTGGCCGGGCGTGGTGGCTCACGCCTGTAATCCTAGCACTCTGGGAGGCTGAGGTGGGCGGATTGTTTAAGCTCAGGAGTTTGAAACCAGCCTGAGCAAGAGCAAGACCCCGTCTCTACTAAAAATAGAAAGAAATTAATTGGACAACTAAAAAATATATAGAAAAAATTAGCCGGGCATGGTGGCGCATGCCTGTAGTCCCAGCTACTTGGGAGGCTGAGACAGAAGGATCGCTTGAGCCCAGGAATTTGAGGTTGTTGTGAGCTAGGACGCCACGGCACTCTAGCCCTGGCAACACAGGGAGACTCTGTCTCAAAAAAAAAAAAATCTAGGTTTTTGAGAGCCTTATTACATGTCAGATTTTATATTGCCAGAGACTTTAACATTGGTTTTCAGTCTTAATATGGAATGGAAATTTCCCCTTGTAAAATACATGCCACTTCCTTTGACCCTCAGTTTAAAGAATCAGGCTGTGGTAGCCATTAATGATTATTTTGGTCATAGAGCTGTGTTCTGGTTTTGAGATGGTACTTGCTTATGCCTGAGCAATGAAGTGCTTTTTGTTGTTGTTGCTTAAAAGAGACAGAGTCTCACTCTGTGGCCCAGGCTAGAGTACAGTGGCATAATCATAGCTCACTGTAATTTCAAACTCCTGGGCTCAAGCAGTCCTCCTACCTCAGCCTGGCAAGTAGCTGGAACTATAGGCACGTGCCACCACACCTGGCTTTCCAAATCTGCAGAATAAAGAAATTAGATTTGATGCATTCTAAAGTTTCTATGAAGTGTGAATTTGTCTAGGAAGTGAAGACAATATGTTGCAAGGTGGGAGGAAAGCCGACCGCGTTATTGGTCGGGGACTGATAGAGCCAAATGACAGCTGCTGACATTTTGGAGGGGACCAAGAAATCAGTGATACCACCACCACCTGTAGTACTTGGAACAAACCTGATGAGGCGTACATTTTTGTTCTACAGGAGTATAGGATGGCTGCCAGACCATCCCCCCATGTGTTTGATGGAAAAGCAGCAGTAAAACAAAATATGGTTGATGTTGAATTGCTATTTTTGGTTTCTTCACTTCCCACTTGATCTTTCCAGAGCCAAATAAGTAGGAATGATTTTAAGTTCTTAAATTGAACCCTTATAATCTGAAAAGGTGAAATCTTGCAGGTGCAGCCTAATTTGGTGAAGAGCAGTAGAAGAAAACATCTGTGAGAATAACAGGAAAAAAGTGCATGGTTTTCCATCTTGTAATCACACTGTTCAAAAAGCTAAAGTTTTTCATACAAAAATTTAATTAGAGATAGAGATGATATAGATTTCATTTATATTAGTTGAGGTTTTTATTGAATTTTCTTTTTCTTTTTTATTTTCCAGTTGTCCTGTAAGAAAGAAAAGGCTAATTGAAGCAGAGCTCTGTGGTGGTCCTAATGACTGGATTCTTTGTGCACATCAGGGTGTGGAGGGTCATGGAGCAAATCCGTGCGCTAGTGGCCTTTCTGTACCTGGCATGTTAGATGTTGTTTGTGAAGAAATGGATCAGACGACTGGAGAACCACAGTGTGAAGTTGCCCGACGGAGGCTTCAGGAGATTGAGGACAGGTAAATGGGCAGTGCCTATGGCTGGTTTGTTGCTGTTCCTTTGTGTCTCCTCTTTTTCCTTTTTTTCTTTTTTCTGTCTCTCTGGAGAATCTACTCTTTTAAGCTAGTCTTATTCATCATTTGATGATACCTTGATCCTCAACCTCTTAGAGAGACTTTAGAAATCAGGGAATTCAGAGTGTATACTTTTGAAGTGAGTTCTTCTCATAATACTGTATTAAGCATTTTAACTTACTACCCCTGAATATTAATTTTGGGTTTATGAGATGGTTTTCTGGGACACATTCTTCAAAATGATTGCTTCCTATGTGAAACTTTTTTGTTAAATGAAATGTTGAATAACCTTCTGTTTATACTTTTTTCACCCAGGTATAGTCTTATTTTTTAATTGGTCTTTTGCAAGTAGCACCTGTTGCTTTTATCCTTTTTTTTATTTTTCAAATTTTGTCCAATTACTAGAAGAATATGTAATACCTTGACTTAAATATTTTTCTTTCTCTGCATCTGCTGCCTTTATTTAGGATAATTGATGAAGATGAAGAAGTTGAAGCTGACAGAAATGTTAATCATCTCCCTAGTCTTGTCCTTTCTGATACCATGAAAACTGGTTTGAAAAGGGAATTTGATGAAGTCTTTACAAAGAAAATGATTGAGTCCATGTAAGTTTTGGTACTTGGTTTCTATTTAATTATGATCTTGGAGGAAAAACACAGTGTCTAGATACTGTCCTTCCTATATCCTAGTTAGCTCTTCATCTCCTGATCATCAGGCAAGTTAAAGCACAGTAGATTTTGTATTTAGCCCAGGTTAGAGAGAAGCCTTTTCTTAGTTCATTGGGGATGAGCAAAATGTTTGCAAGCGGGAGTTTGAATTATGCAGGAGTGGCTTCTTGCCTACTTACCCCTTGATTCTGAAGTCCTGAAATGCACTTCGGTCTAGTATTTGGGAATGGGATGACTGGTAAGAGAGAGCCCATTCACTGAAATTCTTGTGATAGCATTATAGGAACCACATTTCAAAGCCTCTTTTTTTTACCTGGCTCTCTGAGTTATCCAGGAACACCATTGTGACTTAGGAAACAAAAAAATATAAGTGTCTCAGCAGTAAGATCATATTCTTGGCTCATAGCATAGTCCCTCAGGGCCCTTAGCAGAGCTATTTTGCTCTTAATTTAATAAGCTCAGTTACCTGGTTTCCTAGATCATCAGAATAGAAAGAAACATCAAGTGAGAACCGAACAAACAAACTCCTAATAAGGAGTTGTGACTACAGTGTGAGGACAAGAGAGGAAACTGGAAAGCAAACACAGGAACCTAAAAAGCATAGTGGCCTGAGGCCCATTAATTTAAGAACTAATGATTAGTCCTGTAATTCTATAGTCCCTGAGCCTACATGATCTCAAGTCATCATTATCTGCTTTGTAAAATCGGGAAGTTATAAAGTGCCATTTAGCTATTGCCTAGAAAAGACTTTAGAAAGACTTGGTACTCAATGAGGGTAAGTTTCAGATATCTGAAAAAGCCTCTTAGGACACCAGTCCCGGTGAAGCCAGGTAGCTAAGGCATTATTGCCTTTGGACACAATGGAAGTGATTTGTGCTCAGAAGTTCTGGTGTTGGATCACAGAGGTTTTGCTTTTAGCATCCTAGCTTGACCTTATAATTAACTACCCAGCCCTGAGGATGGGTAAATAGTTTGGCCAAAAGTAAGCAAGTCACACAACCCTCCAGCAGAAAACATAGCATTTTCTCTCTTGGTAGTTTTCCAGAAGCTTTCCTTTGGGGGTGTTCTTCATTGTTTTGTGTTTTATTTTTGCCTTACTTGCCTCTGGGTCCCAGAAACCATCACTGCCTTGGGGTGGGAGGGAGGGGTGTCTGTGTGCACAACACAGTCATTCTGCCTTAACTGCAAAGCTTTACACTTCATAGCTATACTAAGCAAAAGGCAGCTGAGACACTTTTAATGTATTTGTCCAGTGTTTTATTTTCATTTATAATGATTTAGTACAAGATAGCTGCCCATGTCTGCTAATATTAAGCACAACCCCAAGAAAAATTTGTAATATTAAATTAAAACAAGGGCTCTATTTTTCACATTGGATGTTTAGATTAATTCTAATTGCAGAATCAGAATATCCAGTTGGTTTGGTTAAAAATGCATGCAGGGCCAGGCGCGGTGGCTCACGCCTGTAATCCTAGCTCTCTGGGAGGCCGAGGCGGGCGGATTGTTTGAGCTCAGGAGTTTGAAACCAGCCTGA